CGTCTTCGTAGAAGATATTTTATGTTCACAGATGAAAAAATGAAGCTTTCCTAGTTACATAGTTACATAGTATTTGAGGTTGAATAAAGACACATGTCCATCAAGTCCAACCCATTGTGTGTATGATGCATGTGTATGCATGTGATTCTGCGTGTGATTCTGCGTGTGATTCTGCGTGTGATTCTGCGTGTGATTCTGCGTGTGTATGCGTTCACCGGCCCATAGAAGCGATCTGGCGACAGCTGAGCCTCCAGAATCGCTTCTGTTGTAAAGCTGACAGTCGGCTTCACAAGTTTAAACAAAGTCCCGGCGGCGACCAAATACGGAACACAATGATGGACGACAATTACTTTGGTCAGTTCATGTAAATTTCGGGTTCCTCGTTTTTTGGAGGAAAGTTCCGACATTTGTCCCGTCTGGAGATGAGAAGCCGAAATCTCCTCTGATCGTCTTTCAGTCCATGTTTTCATCTCTGGTGTTCGGATCTTTGTGATTTGGATACATCGTTTCTCTCGGAACTCTCCAGAACATTGTGACCGGCATCCGGAACTTTCCTCGATCGGGTGAAGTGGCCCAGAAAGTCGGACGCCGTCGTTTTATTTTTTCGGGAGTTTGATTCTCAGCGAATGAATGACGTGGCAAAATTCAAACGTCTCCGAGCCCCAGACACACCCCGCCGCCGCCTGTCCGGACCTGCTCCGCTTCGCAGAAGCCCAAGCTGGTTTGCTAATTAGTTTATGAAGGAAGCGAGCGTTCAGCAGAGACGAGATGCCGGCGGGGGTCAGAAGGAAACTTTGATTAATTTTTTTTTGCTTGAACATATTAGTGCCGAGATGTCAGCTATGGGAGGCCTGTGCGGCCCGAGCGGAGTGCACCCGAAATCCGGAACCCAGTGCGGAATGATAGGATCGCTCCGGAATACCGGGCACATTGAGGAAACTCCCAGCATGCTGGAAACCTTCTGCAGATCATATGATATTGTGTTCCTTTTACTCCGCGGTTGTCAAATGCAACATCGCAATGTGCTGCAAAGTTTTAACTCGTTCACTGCCAGAGGCATTTTTCTTATGTTACACACAGGTTGTGTTTGATTAGATTCTTAAATGACCAGAGCGGTCACAGGGAGACCGAGATAAACCTGGAAGAGCTCAGAGATGAGCGCTTCCAGGTTCATACGTCACACGGGAGCTCAGTGAGTGGATGATTGCTGCTGTTCATCCTCCTGACACCCACCATGAAGGTCATGGACAACCCAGAGAGAAAGGTAAGCTAGTTGGGCAGGGGAGGAGGGGGCTGGAGACAACACTAGCATCATCTAGCGCTTTCCTCCCCAGCCTGTCTGTCCCTGGTACCGCCCCTTTTATTCATTAGATTCCAGTTCTTTCGATCATGGAGCCTCAGCATCACATGTGGGCGTTACCTAGGGCGGTCTGCATGCGGATACAGCCTGCTTAGGAACACCCACTCCTCCAGACTGACACCCAACCACCAGGGCATTTTGATATTTGCATAACTCCTCCCAGGAGCCAGCCCACTCCTTGCATCAGGGCTGAGGGCTCTTGAAAGGAGTAGGAGGCAGGGTGCTGTGATGTTCTCAGGAAGCTATGTGCAGCACCGTGCTGACCCCTCCCACCAGCCATGATCTGCCTGCCGGCCCCTCCCACCAGCCGTGATCTGCCTGCATTGCATAGAGAAGCTTTCTTTCACTCTAGAACTAACACGGCACCTCCCCTCCCCCCCTCAGAGTCAGAACATTCTCTTCTTATTGAGAGACTCTGAAGAGGAGAGAGAACCGACCCGGCGGATCATCGGGAAGAACAGCTCCGCGTTATGCTGAATCTGTGTCAGAGGAGCTCCGGGTCCGAACCTTCACTGATGAGCCCACACGCAGGGAAACCACTGAGGAGCGTCTGGCTGGGCCGAGCTCATAACAGTTAACCAGACGAGTCCTCTGAGCAGATTCCTGAAAGCGTCCAACACCGATGAGCCGAGGGAGATGGAAAGCGGCCAGATCACATTCTGCATCGGCTTTAATGCCGCCACCCCGACCCCCCTCCTCCGCCCCCGAACACAACAACATTGTCCATAGCACAGCATGGCGGGTGCAGAGCCCAGAGCGTCCCGCTGTCAGCACAATGCAACCCGCGCCGGACCGCACAACGCGAGGCTGCACTGATATTGTGTAACACTTCAAAGTGGACCTGTCATCAGATATATACATGATAAGTCCACACATTCTGAGTAACGTGTCATGTGACCCCTCCGGGTATTTATTCCCTCTCACAGAGATCACATGACTCCCCCTCACAGTGATTTCCTCTGCAGAAGGACAGCGCCATCTTTATTCGGGCATCATCCAGAGTCACAATCTACTTCCTGGACTGAGATGCCGGCCCAGAGATGACACAATCATGTAAATCCCGGTGTCTGCGCAGTTCTTGGCTGTGTTCACAAATGTCTGACAAGGATCAGCCCCTGCCGCAGCCTCTCACCTGGACTGGATACCATGTTGCAAAACTGATCACTGGGGGAGGAGAGACTGAGGAAATGCTTCCTCCGGCCTGCAGCAGTCTGATCACTGGGGGGAGGGGAGACTGAGGAAATGCTTCCTCCTGCCCGCAGCAGACTGATAACACCATCTCAGACTAGGCAAGGTCACTGACTGGAGCTTTTTAAAATGGTAAAAAGTTGAACTTTTCGGACAAATGATCCTGTTGCTGAATACTGTGACCTGTCAGGATTGTAGTCATGCAGTTATGATAAATGATTATAATAATGAAGGTAGAAGTCCGGCCAAAACACTTTTTTTTTTTTTTTTAGTTCAGCTTGTA